CCATTCCTCTCCAAAACAGCTCATGCGAGAAGGAGGACATCCCAATGAGGCTGGAAGACTTTCAGTACAGAAAAGGTAACACTCCCTGGTTTTACAGCAGGAAAGTGGAAACTAAGGAGGACTTCACTGCCTGCAATAAGGAAGCAAGAAGCGTCTGGGAGTTGGTCCACAGTGGCTTGAGGAAGGAGGTGTGGGTGGGGGTGGGAGCATGGAAAATGGGACGAGGGCTGGGGAGGGTCCCCAGTTGAGGAGTCTGTGGGTAGGTGGGGGGCGATGGCAGAAAGGAAGCAACAACCAACACGTTTCTGGGGACAGTCGTGTCCTACTGTATTTGGTGATTTTTGCCCTGTGCTATAATTACCCTCTTCTAGACCCCAACCTTTAGTAGAAGTCTGCTAAACAGACTCTTTGTGAACGATCCAGGGAGAAATGAAAGAAAAAGGGTGCTGTCAGCATGGGGAAGGGACCAGAGAGAGGGATGGGAAAACACCCGGATCCAGAGCTGGAACTGCTGCGTGCGTGTGTGTGTGGGTGTGTGAGATACTCTGAGTACAGAAAATGTTTTACCTCAGGGTTTGCTTTAACAATACGTGAATTTAAGACATAAATTCTTTTTCTTATTTAATTTTTTGAATAGGATACTGCATTTATCATGGTTCAGAATTCAACGAGTATGAAAGAGTAGCTGGGAAAATCTTCCCACACTTGCCCATCCCTCTTTCCCTCCCCAGAGGAAACCAATAACATTAGCTCTTGTGATTTATAATTTGCAAGAAAAAAAATACGTAAAATCAGTTTTTTTTCTAATTTACACAAATGATATCATACTATAAAACTATATTGCAAGTTGCTTTTTTCATATGATTCCAGGTGATCTTTCCACATCAGCACATGCAAGCATTCTTATTCTTTTACCAGGGTTGCATAATATTCCTTTACATTGATGTGCCATAATTCATGTAATCAGTCCTGAGTTGATGGACATTTAGGTTGTTTTCTAAGTGTTGCTGGTATAAAAAATAGTGAAATGAACAAACTGGTAAGATATAATAAACTCTTAAATGTGCTTTTATTATATCAAGGGTACAGATGATTTTTCCCCAGTAAAATATAAATGCAATTTAATATAATAAACCAGACTTATTTAATAAAAATTTGCTGTTGAAAACTTTATTGGCACATATATTTGATTCAGTAGAGTATATTTGCATGGAAGTTTAGTTATTAGAGCTAGTAACAGAATATTTTCAAAAACAGATCATGTAAATGTTGTGTGATTTTTAGCATCAATTGATGTCGAATGGCCAAAACCCAGAGTGTTTACTTAAAGCGATAAGGGCAGGAAGGACAGAGTGAGGCCCAGCTGCTCTGTGGATGTAAGAAGCTCTGAACTTGAAATTAGGAAGCCTGGGTTTGATTCTTAGCCCTGCGCTGTGAACTTTTCTATAAAATGGCTATAATGATTGCTGCCCTATGGACTTGGCAAAGTCATTCCAAGGATAAAATGGGAAATTACTTCACATATGTGAAATCTGTTTATGAACTATACATGTTTGACCAATGTTAAATCTGTTGTTAATCTTACTTGCTTGTGGTGCCATTGTTTAAGGTCAGTAGAAAACCACCTATGGAATAAATCCATCTGTGGTATAAATACATTTCATAAAAGAAATTACACTGGACATGACCATTTTAATTAAATGCACCAAATGGTGGCCCTTATATATCATACTGTTTTTAAAACCAATTAATCAGAAACAGGTCACTGTTAGCTAACAACCACAACTTATTATTATTATTATTATTTTTGCATGCTCCCCATCTCTCCACCTCATCTACAATTCTTAAAATCAAGTTCACTGCTAACAACCTTGACAGGAGATAAATCTGAAAACCACTCAAATCTGGTAGAGTAGGTAATCTCTTTTTGCCAATTAACACTGCTAATACTCTCAGATTCACAGGTCGCAGTCTCTGGCTTCTTTTGGAAATGATCAATAAAACAAATGGGCAAACAAAATTTAAGTGTGCTAGAAATTGAAATGCTGGTAGGTCTGGATTTGAGAAACATCAGGAAATCTACTTATTTGTCACTC